GCCCTGCAGGAAGTCGATGTACATCTCGTAGAGGCGTTCTACACAGACAAGGAGGCTTACGGTGGGGTAGGAGGGGGAGGAGGAGGAGGAGGCGCAATATGCGGACTCCGGATGTCTGCTCACCTACCTTTGAGCAGCTTCTGTCGAGTCGAGAATCGGACCAGGTCTTCCTCCAGCATTCTCACCTCCTTCAGGATTGTATCCTCGTTCTGCGCTTGCTCCATTTTTCTGTGCATGCATTTACATATGTGCATATATACATATATGTATACATCTATACACATCTATGTACATCTATGTACATCTATACACATCTATGTACATCTATATACATCTATGTACATCTATATACATCTATGTACATCTTTATACATATATATACATCTATGTACATGTGTATGTACGTGTAATTCACCGTTTCGACACGCACATAACCACACACACACACACTCACCCGCACATGCACTCAAGCACACAGAATGCCGGATTCACCTTCCCCAAGTCATTTTTTGTGCTCCAACATGTCTGTGCGCACTAAAGCACATGTGGGGTGGCCTCTTTAAAGTACGCTTTGCCCCCACCCGCGGGTGGGGGTGACTTGTGCTACCAAGACGACGGTTCCTGGGTTGGAGAGGCTGTTGCAGATGAAAGTCCTGGGGACTACGAGAGGACCGGAGGCAGAAGTGAGACAGCCCGCTGTCTGGTAGGTAGCACGACCCACTCCTGCTGCTAGTGTTAGTGTGCTTGTGTGTGCGTATTTAAATGGTCCCAAGATTGACCAATCGTGTTTAGGGTTGGTGGTGGGTGCACAAATGCCAGCCACCGGGGGACAGGGGTGGGGGTAAGCCGAGGGGAGGAGGGATGGTGTATGCGCGGGACGCGGGGAGGGAGTTGTGTGTCTGCATGTGCAGCAGCGGAGTTAATGGACGTGAATCATCAACGCGAGTGGCTTGAGGATAAAGCAGGGATGGGTGGAGGGCGGGCTGTCCCAAGTCGCAAACCCACATCAGAACAAGTATTGGGCATGGCCTAAGCGGCGTGCAAGCTACCCACTTAGGCGTAATTAAAAACAATAAACGAGACGGCGAATTTACGTAGCCAGGTAGATTCAAATCCATTAGACGCGCACCA